GACGCAGCCTAAAGGGACGCATCATGAAGGGACACAGCATGACGAGACGCATCATGAAAAGACGCAGCATGAAGGGACGAGGCATGAGGGGACGCAGCCTGAAGGGACGCAGCATGAGGGGACGCAGCCTGAAGGGACGCAGTATGAAGGGACGAGGCATGAAGGGACGCAGCATGAGGGGACGCAGCCTGAAGGGACGCAGCATGTAGGACGAGGCATGAAGGGACGCAGCATGAGGGGACGCAGCATGTAGGGACGTAGATAATTTGGTGACAGATAGAGCCACCTATGTAAGGCAATCAGATAAGAAAATCAGAAGCGGAGTGCCACATAGAGCCACTCCATATTAGGTCATCTGAGGTGAGAGTGGTAGCAGTCGAAAAACAGTGAAGATAGGTATCTATTATGTACCGCTATGATCATGTTCATTTATACAGTAAAGTATGACAGTATATTTAAGTAAAAAATGAATTTATTTGTATAATAAACACACACAGGTGAGTGCCAGTTATGCCCCCACATTCCTCTATGGGGCAGGTGTAAAACAGGTTCCTCTCAGTAGGGGTGGTCGCCCGTACCCTTCCTCGCACCTAATGACCTTGACTTTACCGTAACAGAGTTCCACACCCAGTGGGGTCGTGTGGGTCTTATATAAGAGTATTAAATTATAAATCTCCCCCAGGGGTTAAAAAAATCAAAGAATTTATTAATGCTTTATTAGGTAAAAATCACAAATGATGTATAAGAAGTTAATTATGATAGTTAATAATTGTAGTTATGGATTTCTCACTCTTATTCCTCACTCCCTTCCACCTCCCCTTCCTCATCTGAGTAGAATTCTGACGTCTCCCCATCTGTGGTGAGTGAGGGGAGGTCTTGACCCCCTCCCCCCCTCTCTTGGGGGTGTGGGGCGAGTTGGGTGGTTGCCTTTTGGTTGAGTTTCCTTCTCCCCCGCATCTGAAGTGTTCTGGAAAGAGATGAGGGAAATAATTTATAGTGATTAAAGGTTTTTATAGGATTATATCTTTTATTTTAAAAATATTCTATTTCCTCTAAGAACAGCTAGTACATACCTCTCCCCCTGCAGGAGCGACCTTGTGTCCTCTACAGCAGGCATCATCAATTAGGCTACGTAACAGCATCTTGTTTGGGGCAGATCCCCCCCCTCCCCCCCCCCGTAGAATTACTACTCTACAAATGTGGACGGGTCCCAAGAACTGTGCTGAAAAAAAAGAGGTAAAATAGAGGATGTACAAGCTTTTTATTGTGGGAAAAAAAATCTTTACCAGAAAGTGAGGCTAATACTAACCAGGCCCTTCAAGGACTTCAATCTTCCCTATGGGTGTTTTTGGAGAGACACCTTCCATTTGTAGGATGAGGAGGTTGGAGGTCTTCTGGGGAGGTTGTGGGGGAAGAGGGGTTTTTATATGGGGGTAATCCCCCTTGTTAGGTAGGTTGCCTAGCTAACAAAAATATTCTCTACACCACCTATAAGAACCAACCCCTACACCTCTACAAAATGTCCTAACACAATGATGTTTCATAGGAAAATATCGTCTCGCATAAGCGAGGGCTCGTTTATCATTTAATTTTAAAGTAACGCTGGAAAATACATTATGTAAGTAATGTACTGTTGAAGGCAACCCCAGGTGGCTTATCCTATGAACAAACATGATGCAATAGAGCCCGCAGGCAAGAGTAAAATCACTCTGGAGTCTGTAGCACATTCCAAACACCTCTGTTATTTTGTTAGTTTTAATAAATCCCTGAAAATAATGTCCATAAGTAACCGCCGACATTGCATAACTATCGAAAAAAAACATTCGATGTTTAACTTTATCAACATAAATAGCTACCCAATGTCCCATAGTTAATCTGCTGTGTGATGGTAAAATATTAGTTATGAAGACGATAGGTTTTCTTGATGAGATATTTAAATGTTCTATCTCGTCTGCATTATAACATCCTAGGTAGAGCACTCGATCCCCTAGATTATTTTTTAAATTAATATTTATATCATAACAATTCATTATGTTTTTAAGCTCGCACGTCACATAGAACAGTTCTCTGCCCGTCGATGGATAGTACCCCGGTCGTTTCCCCAAACAGTAAAACCAGTCTGTTATATGTAACACCACCACCAAATTCAAGCTCCATACGCAAGTTGCCAGATTTCTCCACAGGGAGGGAATCTTTTGTTTGAATGGTGGTTAAGTCAAAGGCGAATATTGATCTCCCCTTATTAAAAGTGTCATAGCCTAGTAGTGAATCACGCTCTAACCCTAATGTCTTCAAAGTTTCGTAATAAAGGCGGGAATAATGGTTGTCGAAATCACCGCCAATTCGGTAAATTGCGTTATTGTTCAAATACATAGCAATATTTTTCAGCTTTGCATTTTCAAAATATAATCCATTACCTTGGTGAAGGCCGGCGAAATAATTCATTGGTACAATTACCATGAATATCTTGTGAGGAATTACTTGCGCCCAAGGCTGATCAATTAAGAGACTAGTTTGATTCCCCGCTAGGACATATGTTTTAGAAATGGTTCTATTGAAAGTATAGCTGATGGGGTCAGGGGATGCTAACAGTGAGCTGTTTAAGGCTAGGTAGGCACTTGGGTAGGGGAACACTCGTGTTACCCATAACTTAGCATAATCCATATGCAAGCGATACTTAGAGCCATCGACCACACTTGTGTTTAGCACCCAAGCATGTGGGGAGAGCTCCAATCTTAGACGCACATCTATATTATCTAATATGTATTGGTCTAGGGTTGTTACGTCCAATACTAGGGGAAAACACATTGACAAACCTTTACCTTTTAAATCGGACATAAATTTTTATCCTTGGCGGTTGCTCCAGTAAAAAATGTATTAGTAAATTCGTTAGGGATTACACCATCATCACTCCAGTCCCTACGAAAGGCTCCAATTCTCCCCAAGGAAGACATTTTTGATGGAGGCAGGGAGGTAATTAATTTAATAAACGACCAATAATTAAAATTAGAATTTGTTTCAACTACCTGCTCTCCTAAAAACACCTGAACACCTTTAAACATGGTATTTGACAACCCATTCACAAATTCCACATAGTCATCCTCTTCCAATTTTGTGGTATCGTCATCTTTCGTTAAAGATACCTTAAAATCTATAACAATATTAGCTAGATCTAAGAAGGCGCCCTGGGTTCCAGGGATGCGGAATTCTAAGTAATTATCCCGCAAACGTTGATTAATGGGGAGGTTGACAGGTAGAATGTCTATTTGCTGCGTAGAGGCAATTGAACTTTCCACATTACGTATTCTGTTACTTCTAGGAAATTGGTCAATAATACTGGAGCTATAATATTCTAGTGGTATTTTCACCCCAGCTCCACTAGCCTCCGCCATGATCCCCTCCGAAAGGTGAAGTATGACTGCTTACTATAGTGAAAATACGTCATTTTTATACCCAAGACCTCGTTTACATTTTTTTTTTATTCTCCTAGAGAGTCTTTTAATTTTCCCGCCTGTTACCAATTTCTTCCCCACAGTCTTAAGAGCATCAATACCGTGAGTTCTCAGAGCACTCTTTACATCCCGTTTACCACTGGTTAAATCACCAAGAACATTTTTCCCAAAATCGATAGCACTCGGTGTTACAGCTTTCATGAAAAATGGTATGGCCCGTCGAGCCAAGCCAGCCAAGGTTCCAAAAAAAACACCACCAGATCTGAGATAAGGTGCTTGGAATGTGCGTATGTCATTCATCGCTCCCCCCCCCCTCATCCCATGTCTCCTAGAGAGAGGAGAGAAGATCTCTCCGAATTCCTTCTGAGAAGGTGGGTGGAATGGTACACGCATTCCGACACCTCTTCTTATAATAACCGAAGTCGTGGGTAAACACTTCTATATATATTTATATTTATATAGATTATATTGCTATACTTTAGGGCGGATATGCAAGACTGCCGTAACCGACCTCCCATCTTCAAAACTAACCATTCGCCCAAACTGATCTGTTATTTTAATACTTACTTTCTCCAACGTGTTAGTATTTAATGTCTTGTACACTAGGGGATGAGCCCCTCTAGAATATGAGTCATGATAATTGATTGCATCTAAGATATTTACAATCTGCCCCCCCCCCCCCCCGTATCGTTCCGGCTCGATGACGTCACTATAAATGAGTAAATAGTCACAACCTCCGTCATTGTCTGGGGGGAATGAGGCCACGACCTTGGAGGCTGTTGTAATGTCATCTGTTTTTGCCCGATAAATGGTGTATTTGCGACCGCTGTCAAAACCAAGTACATTAGCTATTCTGTGTTTAAATTGAAGGCTGAGAGAATATAACGAGCCAGTACCTTCATTGTTAAGAGTTGAAGCTAGTAATACCCGCTCTAAAGATTGGTCATAGGTGAGGATTGGTTCTCTTTCTGTGAAGTATATTTTGAAATCACTCCTGAAACTTAGTTTCATGTCAGTGATTATTTGCCGGCTAAGCTCACCCGTGATGAATGTGATGTTTCTGGATAATATGTTGGTTTTGGGGAGGAAGGTATAAATTAGGTGTTCTGGGCTTTTAGAAAGAGTTCCACGTTTAAAAGTAGCATAGACATCTATGCCAGACTCCCCCTCATCCTTGATGATAGCATTAATTCGCCTGGGTAGGAGTATGTTGACTAAAGCCACTTCATGTTTAATGGAAGGGTTTAAATGTAGTGTGGGGATGGTGTTTGTAAATGCTGAACTTGTGTTGTTGTATATATCTTCTTGGTCGAGACTAGTAAGGTATATGTAATGTTCCTCGGCCATTGTTCACTTATGTACTGATTGGGGGATATATGGGAGAGGGGTTTTTGTATGATGGGGAAATAAAACAACATTACTTATATTTTATTTTATTAAACTACAAAGGAAATATTTGTTTTAAAGAACTACAACAGGGGAATTATTCCCACAACAAATTACATATAAAGAACAGCCGCTGTTGGTGCTGCTGTCGCTGCTGCTGCT